AATAAAATAAGGAAACTGATGATATCTAGTCCAGTCAAAGTGTGGATGTGAGGCTGAGAACAAGGCTTCCTCCTAAAATCAAAGTTACGTGAGTCTAGGCCCCCAAAAGTACACCAAAGCCACTACTGCTCTCACGGATTCTCCCCCACACAACAGGAAAACGTTCCTTTGCACCAATGCTGCATAGGGAGTTCCGCAGTTTTGTTGTATTGGAGTTTGTGTCATGAAACCATCCATTCAAGGGGGCATAATTCCACAGCAGAAGGAATCCAGTACAGAAGTACTTGGCTTCTGAGTAAGGGTAGCAAGATAAATAGAAGTTGGGGGCAAAATGGAGATAGGAAGAGAAGGCCCACTTATATCTTCCATTGGCAGGGCTCCCCAAGAGATGCTCTGTTCCTGGCAAATTGTGTCTACCTGTGTCTCGCTATGCCCACGTCCATCTACTAAAATAAAGTCTATAGTCACATTACACATTTACCCATAAACTTAAAATAGCTTGAAAATGTCTGTGCATATTAACTTTCTCCAGTGTGACAATACCTCCAGATAAGAAGTTTTAAATGGTAGGTGTGTATTCATTTTATAACACTACCCTGAAAGAAAGAACTTCTAATTCTCAGAGTTTATTGTAATTCTGTCATAATTTCTTAAAAAGAGAATAAGTACAAGTTAAATAAAAAACATTAAAGAAAAAAAATAACTTTCTTTAAATTGTTCAAGAGCTCAGCCAACCACAGCATTACAATAGCTTAAAAATTACTCTGGTTTTATTGGAATAGTAATTCCTCAATTTCAAAGCTATTATTTAATATTTGCTATTTTTATAGAACATACTGAACAGTTATAGAGCAAAAGAGTACATAAAAACCCAAATAACAGTAATTTCCTTCAAAACTACACTGAAGTAATAAACTTATGTAGTCACACATTACCTTCAGAAACAAAAAACTCTGCTAAATAAAATGCAGTCCTCACAGCATTAGGTGCATGGGAAATGCCTGCTACATTTTTCCATTCATAAGGTGCTTTCTCTGGATGCCACTGGACAGCATATACTGGATACTTATATCCTAAATGAAGAACACAAAACAGTAACTATTAAGAACAGCTTAAGGGGCTGGGGAGATAGCTCAGTGAAGTAAGTGCTTGCCTGGCAAGCTCAAGGTGCTGAGTTCAATCCCTGGTACCACCAAAAAAAGAGGAAGATGTTACAATAAAAGTGTACCATGTCCTATGTAAAACACTACTTTATAACCCACATTAGACAAATAAAATTATACATATTTTCTAAGACACAAAGAATTTATGTACATAGTCAATGTGAAAATCCCAATAACACATGTGACTGACTTACAACTTTGTACAATTTGTAATACAAGTCACTTTTCCAAGTAATCATAGTAAAATAAAATAGCTCAGCCCTGGCATATATCCCAGTCAACAGTCAAGAGCATGTTGTTGTTTTGTGAACTGGACCTAGGGCCTTACATGTGCCAAGCACACACTCTGCCAATGAACTATACTCCCAACCTCAGGTGTG